ATAGTGTGTCTGTTGGAAGTGTATGAGATTGTATTTCACTGTGATGTACATGTAGGGTTGCAAGTTTATCTTAATTTTGAATAATAGATTGCGTTAAGGTTTCTATATGTGTGATTGATTTATAATGAAACTTTCGTATTTGGCCATTGAATTGTTTTAGACTGCGTCATTTAAAAAAAAAAAAAAAAAGAGATCTTACATGGTTCAACTCATAAATTCTCATTTAAACAGACTTTCTTTGCAATATGAAAAAAAAAACATGAATCTCACAGTTTATTAAATAAATCTCATAATTTATTTAAAAATACCCCTTAATTGAACTCCGTGCTTGTAAGCATAGAATATTTTTCAATATTTCTTCTTTTTTTCTAACATATTTGATAATTAATTAAATATATATATAAGAAGTTGTGAATAAAACTAAAATCAGAGCCACAGATATTTCCTCAGGAGCTGGTCCACCACGGAAACCACAGGGGAAAAATGTGGCTTGACTTTCATTTGACTTTGTTGGACTATTTTAAAGTTGTGTTAATTGATCTTTCACTTTTTTAAGTCGTATTTAATTGCATTAACTAACTTTGACAATTTTTTTTCTTTAAAGCGTGTATTAATCTTTTTAATTATTTTATTTTCAGATACCCTTTTTTATAGAACAAAAAAAAAAAAAGAATAATCGAACTAAAAAAAATATTAAAATTAACATTTTTTTTAAATGTGTGGATGGAACATTATATAAATATATTGTTCAATTACTTCAATTAAAAATGAATAAATTAAAATTATCTATATTATATAATGATCCTCGTTTACTTTAAAAACATGTATTTACATTCATAATTACTTTCCATAACCAACTAGTTAACAATTAATCAATTGATAGTTATCTGTTATGTTGTTTTAAAAACTTAAAAATGTATTTTTCTAATTATTTTTTATACTTACATTTTAAGAGCAATTATTTTGCCAAAGGAAATAACTACATTAATTGTTTTTTTTTTTTTTGGGGATAATCATAAAGATTATTTGAAAATCACCTTAGCTAGTAAATAACATTATTGATTTATAATATTATTTTGAATTTAATTATTTCTGATGCGAAACAAAAAAGGAAACCTGTTTCCTGTAATATACGATCTCGGGTTAGTTTCCCTTTTAAACTTGCTTGGTCTGCAAGCGACGGTCTAATTCCTCTCCTCAGATTTATATAAAGCGAGAGAGATACGGATTTGATTTTTTTTGAAATTTAGATGAAAAATATTTTGTTACCCGCCTCGGTTTCGAATAGGAGAGGATACAAATTTACCCGTATTTCCCTCTGGTTAGCCACAAGTTCTTCACTTTCTTCTCTTCTTTTTTCTTTGATCAGTGTTGCAGAGAGCTCAACATGTCGAAAAGAAAAGATGATGGAAAAGACGAGAATCTGAAACGCCCCAAGCAGCAGTTTTCTTTAGCCATGATTTTTTCGAGGAAGCCTTCCGCCGTGCGTAGTCGCCCTCCTGCACCTCCGTCTCCTCACAGCTTCTTCGCCGACAACCTCTGCCTCATTGATTCCGACGCCGCTGCTAAGGATGACGATGATCAGTGTTGCAGAGATCTAAACATGTTGAAAAGAAAAGATGCTGGAAAAGACGAGAATCCGAAACGCCCCAAGAAGCAGTTGTCTTTTGCCATGATTTTTTCGAGGAAGCCTTCCGCCGTGCGTAGTCGCCCTCCTGCACCTCCGTCTCCTCAAAGCTTCGTCGCCGACAACTTCTGCCTCATCGATTCTGGTGGTGGTGCTGCTGAGGATGACGATGATCCGACGGCGGTCACGTCGACCGCCGAATCAGCCAGTCCGACATTCTCCTTCTCGACTGATTGCGCTTGTTCTCTGCCTCCCGTTTATGGTGGCAATTTCATACTACCTGTTTATGTCGGTGACGGTCCGGTGTCGCCTCAACCCACCCCCCCAATCCGATGAAGACTCTTTGGCTTCGCCTCCAGACAGCCCTCTCTCACCCGGCTATGCTCCTCTTTCGCCGGAGCATTACATCCCATGAGCTTTGGCAATATTGTTGATTAATTCAATAATCAGTACTGTTTATGCCGTCATCTATAGATTCAATAACTCAGAAAGCAAGAAAGAAGGGTTAATTGAGGATGATGTCGTATATAGTCTGTGTCGGTGATGATTGAGGAAAAACCCTCATGAACCCATGTATTATTCTTCTATCAATTTTATTGTAACAGATTGAGTGAAGTTGGAATCAATATAGGAAAATCAATAAAAATATGGGAAATAGCTGGTTGATAATTACGGTGTGTGGATGAATAAGAATATGATGAACAGAGATTTTTACTCTCCCAAATCATCCTCTTGACATTTAATCAATTAGTAATTTGATTTGATGTGGAACACCCATTCTCCAATTTTCTCAGATTTGAGACTTGAGATGTTGGCTCCTACGGATTCCAATGGAGAGACGCCAAGCATCCACAATGGAGTCAGGGAGAAACTGGACAAAGAACCATTGAAGGGAGTGAGCCCAGTAAGGAGTACACCTTGGTTCGAACCCTATTCGACCGACTCCGGCGGCTGCATAATCTTCTGCAGATGGTATAAAGACGGTTGCTTTTTCTATTGCTGCAACTCTCTTCACCATCTTGGTGGCAACATATAATGGTACCTGACATTGTACATCAATCCCGAATTGCTTGTACTCCACATATAAACATCTTGATAGTTGATCAACATACCTTCATTCCCAACATACCCATAAAAAATATATACATATTAGATTCTATAAATATATACATAATTTAATTCTTATTTTTACACCTCCGAACAAAATGAACCCACTAACATAACAGTCTCAAACTTTACTACTAATTATTAGAAGATAATATTTTTGGGTATATATATTATATTATATATTAAAAGTTGTATCTTAGGTTCCGCCTTCCACTCCCATATCGTTTACTGTCAAAGAGTTGAATTATAAGGTCCTCGCTTTAATTGCTGGTATGGTGCATGGTATTTTTTAATGTTGCCCCATCTTAGACTTTCAAATAAATTAGAAGCTCATAAATGTATATTAGATATATAATTTTTTATTTATATTTTTTTTAAAAAAAATTATAAAATATAAATAATAAAACAAAATATAATCGAAAAATAAAATTATATTTTCCATACATTTTAATGAGTTACGTGCGCCTCTCTCTCTCTCTCCCTCCCTCCCTCCCTCGTACACCTTAATGAATTATGTATATATCTATTAACTTCATATATAGATAGATATAATTTTGATATTAATTCAAATATTTTTAAATAAATTAATTTTTATACAAATATAAAATATTCTTTAAATATAAAAACTTAAACGAAAAAGATTAGATATTTTATTTTGGCGGTTCTTCCAATGTCACCTACACTCTGAATGGAATAGCATAAAATCCTGCCTGTAACTAATTACTCAATGTCAAAAATAGTTCAAACAATAAATTAAATTAGATGGTTGACTCATAAATATTAACCCAAAAAAGTTAAAACCTACTTACGCTTTTGTGGCAGCATAGATTGCATAGAGAGGATGCGAAGGTACAACAATGGCGGCACCCGAACCGATATTGATAATCGCACCTCTCTTCCTCTCCAGCATCATTGGAAGAACAGCTCTGGTAACCATAGTCGTACCCTCCAAATTAACCCTTACAATATTCATCCAGACTTTCTCATCAACCTCGTGAAAATACATTGCTTCTGGGTAAGTTATTCCCACATTGTTTATGAGAATACCCACGTCCAGCCCTTCAATGGCTTCCTGGATGAATCCCACACCGGAAGAGAGATTAGAGTCAGAGAAATCGAAGGGAATGGTTTTGATTTTGGTAATGGGGAAGGAAGATTTGATTTGGTTTGAGACAGATTGAAGCTTGGCCCGGTTTCTACTGACGAGCACGAGATTGAAGCCTCTGCGCGCGAATTCAACGGCGAAGGCTTTGCCGATTCCGTCGGTGGCTCCGGTGATGAGGACCCAAGAGCCGTAAGTGTGGAGGTTTATGGGTGGTCGGAGGAAGACGGTGTAGACCCATTTGAGGAAAGGGATAAGAATCAGTTTGAGTAGGTAGATGAAACCCAGAAGAGATACAAGAAGAAACCGTGAGGTGGGTTGGGTAGCCATGTTTTCACTTTTATGGCTCATCAGTTCATATATGTATGTGTGTGTATATATATATATATATATGTTATGTAAAGATACAAGATTAGAGTACTGGGGTAAATACATTGTGGTTTTAGGGGGGCTCAGATTAGGCCACCTTAAACTGCTGGCTAGACAGGAAGGTTGGTGTAACTATATATGCAGCAGGTGTCTTTTACAAATAAATAACAGCACTACTCTAGAAAAGATGCACTATAGTATTAATTTAATTAGATTGTAACAAGTGGTTAAAAAGAAGTGACTGTTAGTTAAGTATTTTATATATATATATATATATATATGAATCATTAATACGAAGGTGGCTGTGAAGTGCTTATAGAAATGGCAAAAGAACGTGAATTAGCAAATTAATATATATATATATATATAATGATTGATGGGCGGTCATGTGAGTGTTAATTATTGTAACAAAAGTAGCATGTACGTATAGGTTAGTTGACATGATGAGGGAGAAAAGGAAGGGTACGTGAATAAAAGAGGACACGTAGAGGAAAAGGGAGAGGATTTGTTTGATGGTGATAGTGAGGTCAGCTCACCGCTTCACCCATGAAACAAACTGTGACTCACCTAAAAATTACTCCCCATATTTATGCTTCCTTGGGACCATTGTTTATTATTGTCTTTTTAATTACATATATATATATATATTAAAAGAAAATAATAATGTCTTTATATCATTTGGCTTGGTGTTTAAATTTTTTTAATTATGGTGTAGTTATATAATACGAATGAAATACAAAAATCAAGACATATAGTCTGTGTTATCATCTAACAGCTAACTTTGAAAATGAGAGAAGGGCAAAGTAGTTTTCGGACGCTTAAGCCAAAATCACCATCAACCAACTTTTCATAAACCACCCATTTAATGTAGACATATATATATATATATGTATGTATTTTAATTATATGCATGGTTAGGAATTTGTGTCAATAAGTTTAATATAAAATATTCATATTTCAAGTAAAGAAAAATATTTAATTAATAGATTTATTGAGATTAAATTAAATTTAATTATTATATTTCTATATAAATTAAAATTTTAATCATATTAAATTAAATATTGTCCAAATAGATTTACACTTTGTAAAGTAGGTTGTCAAATCACATTTATGAGACTTATAAAGCCACACCACTCAACTTTAATAAGTTGAAAGCCTACAATATCACGTGAAATTTATTATCGTGATGGGAATTGTTAACAGATAATTCAAATTATTCTCGGACAAACAACTGAATATAATATATATATATATATATATATTATATTCACACATTAAGAGATGGGTATAAAGAAAAATTAGTGAGAGAAGAACCCAAAAATGGAGTGAAGAGACAAATTTTAAAATGATAAGAAAAAAATAATAATAATAATAATAATAAAACTTTTTCTGATGAGCTGCTTCATTTCACAGTTGATAAAGCTTGTTTATGGATGTGATGTAGAAATTCTTCCTTCATTAAATGTTACATAAAAAAAATAAAAAATAAAAAAAAGTGCAAATTGTAAAGCATGGAATCACGTGATACAAAGGATAAAGTATTTTTATACATGCTCTTAAAAATTATTATTTTATAAGTGCATCATAAAATTAATTTATAATATTTAATTTAATAAAATTAAAAATAATAACTCACTCACTGCTAATAATATATATATTAGTGATTTAAGTTTTAATAAAAATTTATTATATTTTTAGTAAAGTAAATTTATTTTATTCATGTACGTATGCGAGTTGTAGTCAAAATAAATTTATATTGGTTGAAATGCATGCACGATCAATGTTGAAATTAATTTATTTGTTTTAAATTTTGAAGAAACAAAAACAGAAGAGAAGAAGAAGGCCCAATAATTAAGTGCTTTGCCTCTCCATTAATTCTTAATGTTTAATATAATATGCAAAAAATATTAAATCATTAAATTACAAAGCCTTTTGATTTCTGAAGAATACTGGCCATTTGCACGGAATATCAACCAAACCATATATAATAGAACAGAAGCTTCAGTAATTTATAGTAATTTTTAAACTATAAATTACTGCAACCAGTTTCAATTTTGATTTCTTTTTTTAAAAAAAAAAAAACAAAAAAGGGAAAAGAAAGCTAACAATAAAATTATAGACTTGGACAACACTTTTGAGACAACGAGTTGTTGACTCATCTTCAATCCAAAGATAAAAACCAAAAGAGCCAACGCGTTGTTGACTCAAATTAGTTTTTCTTTTTTTTTTTTTTGGAGACCGCTTGCAAGTTCGCAACTTATTCATGCTGAAACCCTCTGCATGCAAATTATAATTCCACTGGGGGGTACACAGGGGAAGCCATACAGGACATGTTTACATTATTATGTGTAATCATCATATCTTATGCACATGCTTCACATCTTCGACATGGTATAATCCATCACATCTGCAAAGAAATCTGCAATCGCCACAACATTCAACATTAGAGATTAATCAACAACTACAGCTTCCAAAGCATATTATTATTTTTTGGGACAACTTCGACTTACCTGCGTCTTCCTTTGTAAAGCACAGAGGAGGTGTGATTCTGAATACGTTTCCATAAAATCCACCTTTTCCAACCAGTACTCCCATTTCTATCCCAACAAAACCACAGTTTAGGTTGGTTAATTAATTTATTAGTGGCAGAAAGGAAGCTCAAACAATCCATGTACCGACTCAGTATAAAACAAACCTTTCATCCGATCCATTATATGCAGAGTTTCTGCCTTGGCAGGAGTTTTCAGTTCGCGATCCGTGACCAGTTCAACTCCAAGCATGCATCCTTTTCCCCTTACATCCCCAATAACTACATCATAAAGTATATAATATGCGGATATATAGCACAATCAGCCAAGATATTAGAAGGGGAAGAGATGGCTGCAATTTAGAGCAAACAACATATACAGTTTATAGTAATTGACGGCGGGAAGAAACATTACTTTCGTATTTATCTTGGAGTGCAGCTAGCCTCTGCTTCAAGTACGAGCCAACAACAAGAGCATTCTCTTGGAGCTTTTCATTCTCGATCACTCTTAAAACAGCATGCCCTGCAGCGGTACACACAGGATTCCCACCAAAGGTGTTGAAGTAGCTGCGTCGAGTCAAGACTTCAGCAATTTCTGGAGTGGTCACCACAGCACCCAGCGGAATACCATTCCCAATGCCCTACGCCCAAACCCGGGTTAACATTACATCAATTGTAAAATGTTTTCAGTGATCCAGACACGTTCTTCAGTTTTAGAAGGATGAGAAAACCAACCTTTGCCATGGTAACAATATCAGGAATAACACCCTGGTTCTCGAATCCCCAGAAATGGCTTCCCGTTCGTGCAAACCCGCATTGAACTTCATCCGCAATGCAAAGACCTCCTGCTTTCCTTATTGTGCTGTAAACAGCAGGCAAGTACCCCGGAGCCAATTCTACAATTCCACCCACTCCCTGGCAGAGACAAAATTAAGGACAGACTGAACTGTGGATTAAAGGAAAATATATGAATCTCTCTACAGATAATTACATGATTACTTTTCTTACCTGTATAGCTTCAGAAATAAACGCAGCAACATGGCCCGAAGTCCCAAATTGTATAAGATCATGAACATCTTTTGCATACTTCTCACCATCTGAACCAAATATACCTCTGTAAGGGTCTGGGTTCACAGCATGATGGACTCCACTCTGTTGATCAAACCAATAAGAAATGAGACAGAATACCACAACAACTTGGCCATACGAGATACAATTACGGGCTAAGTGAAAAGGTTAAAATATAGCCTTATCTAAAATCTGAGTCAGTGGCATTTCGCACGAGTTACAAGCCTCTAAAGCAATACATACAATACGTTTGGTGGTACTCGTAGGATACAAACACTTGGGTATATACTTCTAACCATCATGGTCGATTGAAAATCCCCAACGTTCAATTTACTAACAAGGCTATTTTTGTCATTTCAAACGTCCGTCTATAGTTGCCAAAAGCTTACGACTTTCTTGTAATGATTACCAATTTTCAACAAAATTCCAAGGCAGTAGGGAGGGATTAACTTTTTCAAAAAGAAGAATATCTCTGTTACCATCAATCACTACACTCACTGAACTAACAATGGTGTTCAAAAGGTTACGGATGACATCAACCTTAGTGAATATCAACACAAAGAGAACCCGCAAAAGAAAAATACATTTGTCTTAAAAATTGAATTTAACGGGAAAAGAGGCTTTATGAATTTTTAGTTTTTAAATTCATTTGTTTTTATGAATTGATATGTGTAATGCTGTGTATATTTGAGGTAGTCAAAAAATATGTAGAATCAGATTTTAAAAAGCATATCTCTTTCATGTCACATTTGTATTATGCTTTTTAAAAACATTAAAAGTAAAATACTTTTTCCATTATAATAGTGAGAAACCAAATGTACATGAGGTGAGAAGAAATTATCAGAATTAGCTTAAAAATAACAAGGAGAAGCCAAACATTACTGTAAAGATTCTCGTCCACTTAGATCGCCCAACTCCGTAAGCGAGATAATTTTTTACGGAAAGAAAATCAGTTGTCACATGGCATGATAGTATGGAAGACGATACCTTCCCATTGATTATATCAGACAAATTACAGGTACTAGTTGATTAATTAATTAATTTTTTTTACAGAAATGATATTATAAAAAAAGCGAATAGAGCGAGAAAGTGTACCTGTAAGACATTGAATTTCCAGATGCACTGCGCGGTGGCTCCCATAGTGGCGGCTGCGTTCCCATGGTACGCGTTCCTCAGCGAGATTACGTCATGGCAGCCCGTGTACAATCTTGCTATCATCAGTGCCAACTCATTCGCCTCCGTCCCTGAATTTGTGAAGAACACTACCTACACAATCGATACACATCAAAAGCAAATTAATCGATTGAAACCGTGTTTTCCAATTTAAAATCCGAACAAAAATTAGTAAACAAAACTAACGGACGAACGGACCTTGAGATTTCCAGGCATCTTAGAGGCGAGGGCCTGGGCAAAATCAGCGATGGCGTTATTGAGGTAGAGGACGGTGGAGTGCTGCACCCGTTTGATTTGGTTGATTGTCGACTCGATCACATCAGGATGGCAGTGGCCGCAGGACACCGTAGCAATCCCACCGAAAGCGTCTAGATACCTGCGTCCGTTCTCATCGAACAAGTACTGCATCTTTCCATCAACCACGTTCAACTACCAGAGACAAACCAAAAAAAAAAAAAACGCAGATTCAACTGTTTAGATCCAACGATATGTACATATATATATATAAATCTGTGCTCATCGTAAAATCACCCGATGCAACCACATGATCATATATGGTAAATGAGATTAAAATTTGTAAAAGGTAATTTCAGGAAGCATGTCTAATACGATTGAGAAGAATACACGAAAATGCATCTTGGAGTCTTACGGGTTTAGTGTAAAAATGGAAGAGGGAGGGACTGAGGAACTCCTTTCGCTTGGCAAGAATCTCATCGGCGGAGGGACCGGTGTACGGCGGAGGAGAGTAATTGAACGGAGGCATTTTGGGAAGAACGGCGTCGCTTTCAGGTACAGAGTTGTCCTTCTGTGCCGCCTGAGAGAAACAACGCTGCAATCGCACATAATTACTTCCCAATAATACCCTTCTCGCCATGAATCTCTGCATGTCTTCTCTCTTTCTTTAAAATATACGAAATGTTTTGTATAATGTGGTTCGCGTGATTTAACCAACCAGAGAGAGAGAGAGAGAGAGAGAGAGAGAGAGAGCGAGAGAGATGGAAGGCTGAAATACGGAGCCTAAAAGGCCGAAAGTCGGAAAGCTTTTATAGACGAAACAGAACTCCTAGCAGTGATTGATAGTACGGAAATGCCCCTGGTATTCAACAAAATTACCATTTAACCTAGTTGGACAGATTGTCATCCTTCTATTATACGGGGGAGGATAACCTGCAATGAGTTACACGTGTTAATTTCCAAAAAAAAAAAAAACAAATTATTTCTATTTTAAATAATTTCCTTATTTTCTTTATGCTAATACCATGTGAAGTGATATTCTACCAATCATGATAATAATTATCTCAAATTTGATATATTCAAGGATAAAAAGCATATATTAAAAAATATTGAAATATTAATTAATTTAATTAAAGCAATATCGTTATTTAAAATTAAAATATATATATAGCTTTGACACCCATATATTTGGATTTATAAGATTCGGAAGCAAACACAAATACAAACACATAAACTAAAATGAGGGTCAATTATATTCATTTTCTTGAATTGGGGAAGAACTGAACAAGTGAAAGGAAATTAATCAAAATAAATTTCTTGAATCAAAATTATAAATCAAATTATTTCAAGGTTTCTTTTTGTTAATTTATATAATTTTTATGGTACAACTCATTGTCATTTAAATCAAAATGAATAATAATAATAATAGCAATCTCATTACTTACAATGTTATCAAAATGCTAAGTTTTTAACAGAAATTCAAAACAAAATAATTTCATTTCTAAATTTTTATATGTATACATTTATATATTTAATTATGCATAGTACTAAATACTTAAATATTTAAAAGTTACCAATTCTTGGGATAATTAGTGGGCGTTTTCATTTGCTATATAAATCAATAAACAATTTACTCTTTATAAAATAATGTTTCATATATTTACTAAACAACTATAACAATCTTCATTATTTATTGTTTATCTTTATTTTAATTCACTTATATTTTAATACTCTTGAAACATAAAAAAAAATAATAATAATACAATCTTTGATAAAAATTAAATCTTATATGTTGAGTTTTAATCAACTATGTGGGTTTAATGTAGAGTTTATTTGTACATATAATTTATTTGAATCCGTTTAAAAATGATTTGTTAAAATTAAATGGATATTGAACTTTAATACATCAAATAAAACGTGAGTCTTTTATGTACATAAACTAAAAATATTATTTTTGTTTTTACGAAAAGTTAAATTAGAAATAATAAAAAACTTAATGATATAAATAAATAGTAGTGTGTTTCTCAAATCACAGGTAAGATTTTTTTTTATTTATTCTATTATCTCATCACTAGAAAAAAGAAAATATAAAAATTTTAAAAGACCACGTGTTAGTTTAAAAAATTTATCGCAAAACGTGCAGATTTTTTTCGCTGAAAATTTAGATATACTTCCATTTCAGACAGAGTTAGACTTTGTGATTCATACGAGTATGTTGTATTATTTTTAAATTTAGATTTGCATCTATATATTATTGTTTATGTAAAAAATACTACATTCTATTATTACAAATACTACTTTCAGACTCATTTGACTGTGATCACCTCTCTCACGAACTTGGTATTATCATTCTAAAACGATTCGTTATCCATTTTACGATAACATTTGTAACCGACGCATGTTACCATCTCTTTTTTATGATGTAACAAAACTCATATTGCTCGATTATAACTTGTTTTGAAGTAGTTTAGATTGTTGCACGCCAAACATCCTACGAGAATCAGATTTATTTGCATTTTGAATTTGTGAGGTGGGTATTTCAACATTTATTTGCATAAAAAATTATGAAGTTCAATTTGATAGGTCGCTCAATTTTACTGGCTCACAGCTCATAAAAAATTAGGTTAAAAAATGAGAATTGATTGATTGATGAATCTGGATGGGAATTGAGGGTAGATGAGAAGTAAACGTACAGAGCCATTTTTTAGAATGAATGTTGTTTAAATTTTGGCCACAAATTCTATAAAAAAATTAACATGCAAACTAATTTTTATTCGGAAGTGACGGCCGATAAAAGATAAAAGTAGATGACACAACCGAAAAGAAAGCATACCAATATATATATGTATATGTATATGTGATTATATAGAGGTAGAAGAGTTTGGGGCAAGGCAGCTTTCCACATCTAAAATTAAGAATATGACATGTTTAGCATTTGCATTTTTGTATTGTTTGCTGCGTAGGATTTCCACACTTGTTTCCTCCCATGATGCTTTGGAATTAACTCCCCCCCCCCCCCGTACGTCACAACGTGATTAAAAATTTATTATTATTATTTTTTATATGTATTATAGATTAAAGATAATTATAAATTCAAAATTTATTATTTTATATGTATATTATCAACTAAATATAATTATTTTATAATATTTAATTTATTAAACATATATATATATATATATGTGGTGGTGGTGGTGGTGTTTTTATACGATTACATCTTTTTTTTATATATA